AACGAATTGTAGTATAACTATTAGGCACTGTTAATGTATATAATGATCCATTGTACAAACAATCAGGATAATTGATTGTTGATCTTGAAATTTGTACATCTGTTGATCCTGTTGTAATTTTACATGATGAATCAGGCTGTGGCTCTGTTTGTCCTTTACAAATAACATATCTTCTAAACCCCTGAATATTTGATACTTCTTTGAGCACTCCATTTGTAATAGTATCTGGAATTTTTTGTTGTCCATTAGTATTAAATGCATACCAACATCCTTCTTTATATATCTCTTTTACCCATATTTCTTTTTTCGCGGTGTCATTCACATTTTGGTACAAATACAAGTATGGACGATCTTCCATTTCCCATGATATATAAGTCTTAGAACATAATGTAGTATGAAATATTGCAGGTTTATCATAAATCAAAAGATTTTCTTGAGTTTCTGTATCATCAAAACACTCTTTCCTTTCGACAGTAATATATAATAATGATTTGTATTTTTCAAGGTTAAATTGAGTGTATTTTCCTTTACCCCAAGCAGGCCTCACAAACAAATGTTTAATAGAGGCGTCTGCCTCAAAACTAAATTCTGTTGAAGCAGCTTCATTGATTAAAACACTCATGTATGGTAATCCATTTTCACAACAATCCGATTTAAATATAAACTTGTTAGAATTTAAATTAGGACCATTATATTGCCATCCTTTTCCTGAGTAGATACAGTTATTACCATTATAAAATCCATAATTTAAAACGTTCTTATTTGATTCATAATATATGTAACACCCCATATCATTTGAAACAACGAATTGAAATAAGAACAGGATAAGAAGGAACATTGATAAATTTCAGATTGATGATTTTTACTAACCTTAATAATTCAATAATTTTACAATTACTTGAAAATTTTGTTGTTACCCCCAAAAATTTCTCGTTAATAATAATGTTAAAAAATAATTCCTCATCAAAAAACATTTTTTATTTAATAATGTTATTTAAATATAAAAAATTCAAAAAACAAAAAAAATCTAAGAAATTTTATATTTTTATTGAGAAATGAATATAATATTATTAATACTCATTCCTTTTGTTCTTAGTAATGACCTTTTTAATTCAGAAGATCTTGAACTATTAGATGATGAATTTTTAGATTTGTTTGATGATGACTTTGATACTGAATATGAATTAGAAGACTCATTGGAATTTAAGTATAATGACTTTGTAGGATATGGAGGATATTTTGGTTATTTCCATCCACTTCAATATCATGGTTATTATCCAGGATATCCACTTTTGTATCGTCGACTTGGACAGTACTAATTATTTTTTGTTATTCAAGCTATTTGTGTTTTGTCTTTTATAAAATTTTATTATCAAATATTAGAAAAAATAATTTTAAATAAAAATCAAGATCTAATAATAAGTTCTTCTTAAATATGGAAATGGGGAAAAAGAAAAAAGAGATAAGAGGAGAGATTAAAAAAAAGGAATAATAGGGGGAAATTAAAGAGAAATCCCAAAAGATTAAAAGAGAACTAACAAGGGGGAAAAAGAATGATAAAGAATAATAAAAAATAATAATAAGAATAGTAAAAGAACAAGAAATTCAAGGAACAAAAAAATCATATTTTAATGAAATTCTTTGGTATTGTGTTTTTGGTTTTTATTGCTAGTGCTTTAGCTCAATCAACTGGATTTTGGACACCAACACTATATAAAATTAGAGAAAGATTAAGTGAAGTTGCTATTCGTATTGATGAAGTAGAAGATGATGAAAGACATTATGGAAATTTGATTGATAAGAGTATTGTTGATTTAAAGAGTGCTATTACTAAGAGAGAAAAATACACAATTGGTAGAAGACTTACTCATCTCAGAGCTAAGTTAGTTGTTTTCAACCAAAAGAAGTTATTACTTCTCAGAGCACTTAAGAGAATTGTTTCTGCTGTTCCAAGAAAATTCAGAGCTAAGATGATTAGATCATTAAAGATTGAAAAGAGATTTGTTGCTATTAGAGATATCGAAAGAGACGCTAAACGTATTTTAAGCCCAAAGAAGGCTATAACCCATAAAAGTAGTACTAAAAAGACTTTAAAGAGACTTGGTCATGGAATTGCTAAAAATGTTAAAACTGTCAAGACCACTAAGATTTCCAAAATCAAGAAGAATTAAACAATCAAATTGATAAAATTTACATTCTTCTGTTCAATGTCACTTTTTTTTGTTTTGATTATTCTTTTAAAAAATGGTTTAGTCACTAAAAACATCTTTCTATTTTATATTAAGGTTTCTTAAATATTATAACAAATTCTATTTAATGAGGAAAACACCTCTATTGTACAGAAAAATAAAAATTATTTTTCTGTACAATAGACATTCTTCTGAGTTTTCTTTAAAAGAAGGAATTTTATAAAGTACATGAAAAAATGAAAGAAAAAGTGATTACACTGCGTTCTTATTAATTGTCTCTTAATCTTATTTCTATCTTCTTGTTTTTTCTTGTTTTAAACAAAAAGGCAAATGAAAATAATAAAAATAAAAAAAAAATAACTTTTTAAAAATCCTAAATTAGTAATTATTAATAGAGAATTTTTTACTATTTTTTATGTAAGAATAGTTATAAAAAAAGAATTTTTATTAAATTAAGAAAAACAAAAAAAATCTTTAATTTGATAAGATGATAACATAATGTAATGAAAAGAAATATATACAACTTAAGCTGATACTTAGAGATTCTTTATAAAATTATTAATAAACACAGTGTGTGAAAAATAAGTTAAAGTAGCTTTAAGCAAAATAAAGAATTTAAAAAATGAAAATTAGTTATTGCTTGATATCAATGAAATTTATTAATATTAACAACAATTATGAGTACCTTCAACTACAGGAATAGCCTCATCAGTAGACCAAGGGAATTGAGAAATATCAATTTTGTCAAGGATATTATTAAAAGCTTTATCAACACCTAAAAAAAAATAAGTTTTTTGTAGGGTAATTAATATTTAATGATACTAACAACAAACTGTCTCCTTCAACTGATGTAACTTCAGCAAATAAACAACCAAATTTCGTTGCAAGATTTTCACCTTCAATAGTTTTAACTACTCTTTGAGTTGATAAATCACTTTTTGTTCCAACAATTTCAATAACTAAAAAATAAATACGTATTTATGTAACCCCAATATTTATTACTAACAAACGAATATTTTCACAACCTTGTTCTGATTTTATTTGGTTATACCAACTTTCAACACCTTCAAATGATTGTCTGTTAGTAATATCATAAACAATCATACATGATGAAACCCCTCTATAATACATTGAAACCATAGACCTAAACCTTTCTGACCCTGCAGTGTCCTATTAATTTCAATGAGATATATTAGAATTAATTTATAAATATAACAAACCCAAATATTTAAGTCAACGTTTTTACCTTTGATTTTACAAGTTTTTGTAAGGAAATTTACACCTAAAGTAGATTTACAAGATGGATCAAATATACCTTCAACATATCTTAAAACAATACTAGTTTTTCCAACGCCTAATTCTCCAAGCATACAATGTTTAAATTTTCTAACGCTCATTTTAATTAATTATTTATTTACAGTTTTACAATGAGAAAGTTTATTTGAAAGAAAAATAAAAGAAAGTTTAAAATTTTTAAGTAATGTTCAATAAAAAAAAAAAATACATAAGAACCAACTCATTAAATTTTTTTTAAAATTATTTAATTAATTAGTAATAAGTTCAAACGCCATTTCTTTCTCATTTTTAGCTAATACTTTTTGATAAGTATTATATTCACATTGCTTGATTATCATAATAAATACACCATATACAAAAAATAAAAATCCAAATACTAATATAATAATCACCACTGGAACCCAACTAAATCCACACTTTCCAAACGTTTTTCTATTTGCTATTGTACAATTACTTGAATCAGGATATGAACAATATGACTTAAATGATTGTTCACACCATACACATCCTCGTGCAACTGGTCTAAATTCATCTCCTTGAACTTCAGTACAAGATGTGCATAATGTATATATTTCACATTTAGGAAGTTCTTCTCCATTACTCAAACAAGACAAAAGAAGAAGAATATGAATTAAATGGTTCTTCATTAATTAATCATTTATAAGTTCTATTAAAAACAAATTTTACTAGTCATTTCTGTTCTTTAAAAGCCAGTTTAATTCTTCTTTATCTCTCTTTGATATATTTACTTATTATTTATCAATAAAAAAATTAAAATTGAAATAATAGTCAATCAAATGTTAATTAAAAGAATTGCATTTTTAAACAAGAAGATTTCATTGATTTGCTTGGTTTTGATTTACAGGTAAGTTTAAATCGTTATCCCATGGTTTTCTTCCAAGCTTTGGTCCATTATCAATTCTTCCTTTTGCATCTTCAACAGTCCATGGCTTTTCTTTTTGTACCCTTTTAACTTTTGACTTATGTGGTCCTTGTGTGCAATGTTTTAAATAAACTGCTTGTGAAATAAAATGTTTATCACATACACCACAATAAAATTGTCCAAATCCTGGTTTATCTTCATCAATAGGCATTGCCTTAGCCATCTCTCCATTGACGTTCATTTCTCCATTTTTAATAGCAGAAACAATTTGGTCAAAGTCTTTGGTTTTATGTTTCATACTAAGTCTCTTATGAATTCCACCAGTCTCTCCTCCTTTTCTTTTTGACTTATGAACCTTCTTTCTTCTTTGTGGCATTTGTTTATGAAATAAGATGAAAAAACAATAGGGTTTTTTTAACTGTCTTATCATTCACTTCTTTTTAATAAAAAGAATAATATTATTTTATTATACTTTTAGAGATTAAAAATAATCAAAATTGATTTAATGATATAAGAAGTAAATATAAGTCAGATATAAATTGATTGTTTTTTTCTTCTACCATCCTTGAGCATGGATTTCGTCATTGTCATCTTCTTCTATAAATTCATCACATAAACATTCGTCTGTATAATCAAATGAATTTCCATTAATTGAAGATAATTTTTTACTCCCAAGAAATACTTGAGATAGATTTTCTTTTTCAATACAAGTTGTTGGTATTTTTATTGAAGTAAGCTTTGTACAATTAGAGAAACAACTTTCTCCAATATGAATAACACTATCAGGAACATATATTTCTTTTAATGAAATACAATTATGAAAACAACGTGTTCCAATAGAAGTAATTGATGTTGGAATTTTAATTTCAATTAAATCTGTACAATAGGCAAAACAATAATCAGGTAAATTGGTAATAGATGAAGAGATAACTATTTTCTTTAAATTACCACATAAACAAAAAGCACTTTCTCCTAAAGAAGTGATTGTTGATGGAATAATAAAACTAGTTGTTTTAAATTCACATTCTTTATAATATGAATCACCAATAGAAGATATGGATGAAGGTATTTCATTACAAGAAAAGATTAAATCATCTCCATTAATCAATTCTATATTATTACAAGTAATACCATTCTCTTCTAATAATTGTGACACATGATAAGATACTTTAAAATTAATTTCATTTTTTCCATGAAGTATTATTCTTTGTAATTTGTTACACCTCATTAAAGCACTGACATCAAATAATTGTAAATTCTGAGGTAAAGAAATTGCAGTTAATGAAGAACATTCATTAAAAGCCATTTTACCAATTGATGAAACATTATTGGGAATTGAAATTTTATCAAGACTCCTACAAAGAGCAAAAGCAGATTCATCTATTGACTCAAGACATTCAGGTAATTCAACTTCTTTTAAAGAAAAACATCCACAAAATGCTCTTGTAGAAATTTTTTTAATAGATGAAAGAGTAATTTTTTGAAGTGATTCACAGTCATTAAATGAATTACTACCAAGATGTGTTATTGTAGGAGGAAGACTTATTGTTTTTAATCTTATACATGACTTAAATGCATTATCTTCAATAGAACGTAAACACGATGGAAGAATAACTTCTGTTAACATAACACATCCCCAACACAACCCACTTGGTATTGTTAACATATGTGGAGAAAGAATGAGCTTATCTAAATTAACACATGAAAAGAATTCCATTTCTTCTAAATTTGTTAGTTCTTCAGGAACTTCAACAGCAATTGGTTCAGTTGCTTTAAAAACATATTGACGTAGTGTTAAATTTGTTAATGGTTTCTTTTCTATTTGATGATCACTCATTTTATTACTTTGATTACTTTTAAGATTTTAGGGCTCCTTTTATTGATTTATTTGATTTTAATTATCTTTTCCTTCAATCCCAAATTCCTTTCACAAATAATTCATGAAATTCATTATTTTTCGTTTTTTCTACTTTTTTTTACTTTAAGAACTAAAAATCTTCTGCGAATTTCTTCACTTCATTTCACTTTTTGTAAATTATTAAATATTATTATATTTTTTTTAGTTATTAATCAGAACATTGCCTTTTCCTATTCTATAAACATTCAATTTTGTTCAAGTAATTTAAAACCCCCTTGATTTATGCAGTTACTCCTTTAAAAACACAAATATATTATTTTTTTTTTGTTATTAATAACGAATTTTAAATAAAAATGATATTATTAAAAACAACAAATTATCTAAACAAAAAGACAAATAACAAAATAAGAAGAAAACATAAAAAACAACTCTTAGAGAAATAAACCATAAATCACAACAAAATCCACTAGAGTTAGGCATAACCAAATTTCTTGAGGATAGCTACTTTAGCCTTATACTTTTCATCTGCAAGAATCTTTTCTTTAGCTTCAGCAACAGCCTTTTGTTTCAATTGTTTTGCAGCATACCATTTAGCTGCTCTTTCTTTTCTTTCTGCTTCATTCTTAGCAACAACATCAGCATATTTCCATCCAACAGCAGTTCCAAGTTCTCCAAGAAGAGTTCTCTTTCTTGTTGGGTTGAATGAATAAATAGCAGCAGCTTCTGGGATTGATGATTTCTTCATTTTGTCATATGGAGCTGGGCATCCTTCGAAACATTTAAGATTCTTAAGAGCGAGTTTTCCTCTATAGTTATTCTTTGGAAGCATTCCTCTAACAGCCTTACGAACCATGTCAGCTGGTGAACGATGATGGAAAGCACCACGAGTTGGATTAGTATTAACTCTTTTTCTTTGATAAAGTTCCCATTGAACTAATCTCATTTTAAGTGTTCCACATACTTGGAGGTCTTCACATCTAACAAGAACAAATTTTTGTCCTAAGAGAAGGTGTTTAGCAACAACTGATGCAACACGTCCAAGAACGTGTCCGTGGCAATCGATTACAGTGACTTTGTTGTTAGTAGACATTTGTACACTGTCTTCAGAGAATTATAAGATGAATACCCTATTTTGTTTTCTTATATTTCAAATTATATTTTATTATAATTTTTATTATTCTTTTCTTTTGTGTTTTTAAGTATTTTAAATGAAATTTATAGGAAAATGATCCATAAAATATAACTGAATAAATTGATGAGTGAATGTATTTAATTGGAAAACTTGTAAACCCTTTTTTTTTCAAAAAAATAAAACAGTAAAATATAAAGAAATTGATAATTTTAGAAAAGAGGGTTTTCAACTTATTTATTAAATCATAAAATGAGTAAGAAAGGTGGACGTAAGAATAAGAAAGTGACAAAATTAATAATTGGTGAAGAAGAAATTAATAATGTAGATGACCTTTTAACTAATTATGTTGAAGAAAAAAAAGGTGTTAAACCAAAAGAGTCTTCAGATATTTATGTCCCTAATTTTGCTAATCATCAGGAAAGACCACAAAGACAACCACGAGCTGAAGGTGAAAAAAAAGAAGATGACGGGTTGTGGACTGTCAGACATGGACATGACTTTAGGAGACGCCAACCTAAAAAAGATAGAGAAGAAGATCGTGAACCTCAACCTAGCGAGGCTGATACAGCTGATTCATGGAGACGAAAAGAAGGAGAAGCATTTGTTCCTAGAAAAGGAGGTGAGGCTAATGAAAGAAACCAAAGAGAGCCTAGACAACCTGCTGGACCAAGTGAGGCTGATACAGCTGATTCATGGAGAAGAAAAGAAGGAGAAGCATTTGTTCCAAGAAAGGCACCAACTGAATTTAGAGAACATGAACTAAGAGAACCTAGACAACCAGCTGGACCAAGTGAAGCTGATACAGCTGATTCATGGAGAAGAAAAGAAGGAGAAGCATTTGTTCCAAGAAAGGCACCAACTGAATTTAGAGAACACGAACAAAGAGAGCCTAGACAACCTGCTGGACCAAGTGAAGCTGATACAGCTGATTCATGGAGACGAAAAGAAGGAGAAGCATTTGTTCCAAGAAAAGTTTCACATGAAGAACATAGACATGAAAATAATGAAAGACAACACAAAGGATTCAAAGAAAGAGAACCACCTCAACCAAGTGAAGCTGATACAGCTGATTCATGGAGAAGAAAAGATAGTGATGTACCTATTCCTAAAAAAACATATGAAAGAAGACATGAAAATACAGAGAAACCACATAGAGATTTCGGAGAAAGAAGAACAGATGATAGAGGAAAGAGAACATTTGGACCAAGAGATGGTCAACATCAAAATACAAAGAAAAGTACTCAACATATAAAACAAGGGAAAAAGACTCCAAAGCAATCATCTAAACCTGTTGTTGATGAAGAAGGATGGATGACTCAATAAAATATGAAGAACAACAATTGTTAAGCAAATTTTTAAAGAAATAAAGAATATTTTTAGTTTTCATTTAAATTTATAAATGAAAGTTATACATACAAATCAATTATATTTCATCACATAATTAAATAACTGAAGGATTTGTTGATTTGTTTGATATTCTAAAGGAAGAGTATTTATGAGTTTCTTTTTTAAAGAGGTATCAATGAGTTGATTATTAAGTAAAGTTTTTATAATTGTAGTAATAATATTTGTCATGTTACGTGCTAAGTTTTGAGATTGTGGACGAATAGTAATTGTTTTTGGTTTAGAAGGTTTGACTTTGGATGGTTTTGTTATAATTTTTCTTTTGATATTAGAAAAAGAAGGACAAACCACAAGAGGCTGATGATGAATAAAAGTAGGTTGATAACTTACTTCTTTTTTTATATGAAGTAGTGATAGATTATTAGTGAAATAAGGCAAATCATTAAGTAATGACAATAATTTATGATCATCAAATTTATTTGATTGAATATAAGTATATGGAACTAACATATATTTTGATTGTTGATTATTCCATACTGAATGTTGTAATAAAATTAAATATTTTAATTTTCGTGGATAAACTACTATTACTTTTCCTTTCCTTACAACTCCATCCACAAGAACATTAACATATTGTCCAACTGAATATAATGATTCACCATTAGGTTTAAGAGGTTCTGTTGTTGTTTGAAGTTTTTGTTGTAATTTTTGTGCTTCTTCTTTAATAAATTTTTTTGAAAGAATGGAAGGTAATTTTCTTTTATTACGTTCATTATTTTTAATTTGAGACGCTTCAATAAAAGTAAGCATTTTGTTTGAACCAGGATATTGAGATACTTTGGCTTGATCAATAACTTTTTTTGTTGAGTCACTAACAAAGAACTCAGCCGTAAGTCTTTTGTTTTTTATTTCTTGATTTAATGATTGATCACTGAATATTAAATTCAAAGCATCTTGCATTTGGTTATGTTAACTATTATTTTTAAATTAATTTTTATTTCAATTTTCTATGAAATGTTAATGAAATGAAATATTAAAAATTTTCTTTTATTTTATTAAAAAGTTATTATAGATCGAAGGTGGCACGTCTGAAACACCACACATAAACCCTAGTACAAATTCATACTTCGACTCTCCCAGTTATTATCTGGTTATGACGGTGCTTTTGAATTAGGAATGTATTAGGGAATGCTGCAAAGGGTGCAGCAAGAGAATACAGTAGAATATTACATGGATGTAATATAAGAACCTACTGAAGTGTGAGTATGACTAAAAGAAGATTAGTCAAAGTAAGACTAAAAAGAAGATTAGTCAAAGTAATATAGTAGTAATAAAATGATTCCTTCTCCCATTCATAAAATAAGAAAAATGAAATTCCTGAAAATTAAGGCAGAAAATAAACAAAGGCTTAAAAAGAAGAAATAAGCAGAAGAAGTTTGAAAAACCTTAATAAGAAGAAATAAAGCAAAGAAGTGGTTTCCTCATTTTGCAAGAAAAACATAAAGAATAGGTTTAACAAAGAGATTACTCTTTTTTAATAAGCTCAGGGATGGGATTAGTCTCCCCTGAGCTAGGAAGAATAGATGAAAAATCTATTAATACTTAATTAATTACTTTTTCTTAAAAAGTTATTATTATGTTATTATTAAATTTGTTTTTTTTTAACTCATTTTTCATTGAATAAATGAAGTTATTGAAACATTATAGTTTCTCATTCATTATTTTTTTTTTCTTTATGACTAAATTGTAGTAAAATTATTTAAAATAGTTTTAACTTATATAGTGTTTTTGATACTATTTCTTTATAGAGCTTAGTTTTAGATTTTTAATTGTTATTGATATTATAATTAAAATACTACTCAGTCATAGACAAACTTTAAATACTACAATTCTTATTGCTTATTTTGAATAAAGAAAATTAATAGAACAAAAATAAACAAGAGTTTAGGAAAAATAAATATATTCTTAAATCTAGAAAAATTAAAAAAATGATAATAAAGATTATTCTAATTATTGTTTTATTTTTACTCATTTGATTTGATTCAATCTTGTTAAGAAGATTTTATCTTATAAAATTTAATTTAACACCATGGACACCATCCACAATACATTTTTTTAATATTATCAATATCAGCTGCTTGACTTATAATCTCATTTACTTGTCCTTCTACACTATAATTTTGTCCACCTTCAATTCCCATAAGCTTTTCTTTAGTATTGAACATAATACTTTGACATGATTTTATTTCATTTAATTTTTTGTCTTCTTTATTTTGATTTTGTTTTTCATCTTTGACTTTAACTTGTTTTAAGTATTTTTCAAAAGCTTCGTCAGTCCATTTTTTAGGTGGAGCAGACAATACAGCTTGAAGAATTGCTAATACAAAGTCTTTGTTATCTCTTAGAATTCGTAACACATTTTCACAACACCTTTTAAATGGACCATCATACTTTAACACACCCATAGGATCAAGAATTTCTCTTGTTAATCTAAAAGGTACAATTTCTGGAATAGGAAGTTTTTTTCCAAATTCAAAAACAATTCCAAAGTCAATATGAATAACTTCTGCTGTAGCTTCATCAAACATAATATTATTGTTATGTCGATCTCCAATACCAAAGACATAACCAATTATTGATGATACAGCTGTACTGTTTATATAATTTAATTTCATATCATATAAATGTTTTGGATCTTTACCGTACAATTGGTCAAAAAGATTATGAAATGATGGTGTATAAGATTTAACACATTTATTAAATACATCAAAATAATTATCTAAACAATTATTATTTCTAAAATTTTTATGTGCTTTGTCTAATGCTGACATTGTACTTGAAAATGTTGGTTCTTCAGGATGAATTAAGTCATGTATTTTAGATAATTCATTAAACAAAGGTTCTGTTCCTGTAACAAATTCTAACATTCCACTTTCTTTAGTTAATGGAACCACTTTATATGTTCTAATCCTTAATTGTTTTGTTTGTTGATGTTGTTTAAATAAACGATTACATAAATCAAAAAGTTGTTGCATTACAGCGTCTTGTCGAAGGTCATCTTCACTTTTTAGAAGGAATGAATATTTTTTATTATCACTTCCTAAAAACTCCATTTTCTTTGGAGCTCTAATTCCTCCAACTAAAGAATAAACATTTGATATTCCAGCAATACTTGGACAATTATCTCCTGTCATAGGAGAGCATATTGGAATAGATACTAATGGATATGATTTTTTTGCAAAAGGAACTTTTCCTGAACTAGAGTCACTTTGTAAATAAGCAAAATGAATTAATAAATGTGATAATTCATGCATTTGATTTAGTATTGATGAAATACTTTCTTTAGAAGAAAGTTCATCAAGAAGATTTTTTGCACATAAGGGGGGTTGTTTTGGTTTTTGTGGATGGCAATTAGAGTTATATAACATAAGAATATGCCAAAGTGTTTGTTGTGGATATTTTAAAGCAATTTGATAAATGATTTTATTTAAAATTTTTGATATTTCAGGAACAGAGTTATTCATTTTTGCAATTAATTGGTATGAAACAGAAAGTAATTTAGATAAATCAATAGTGTCAGTATTTCTTAAGAAATAATTGGATATTGTAGTATTAATATTATTATCACTTTTACAATTAAACCATATTGATAATATTCTTAATACTGAATATAAATCATAATTATTAGATAATTTTAGTGATTGACAATAATTAAGAATAGCGTTTTGATGAAATAATTTAATATTTTCTTCTCTTGATTCTTTTTCATTTTTAAATATATTAACTTCGTTAATTAATTTTGCTTTAAAATTATTTTTTGATTTTTGATCAACAAATTGTATTTCTCCTGACTCTACTTTTTTTAATTGTGACTTTTTAAGTTCAATTAATTGTTCTCGGTCATGTACAATATTACTTTTATTATATTCTTCTATTTCTTGTGCTTGAAGGTCATAATATTGAGCAACTCTAAAATGAATTTTTGATAATGTTTCTTTTTTAACATTATTGTTATTATCACTTTCTTTAATAACTGCTTCAATTCGTTGAATTAGTTCAGTCATTTCTTCTCGTTTATCAAAATGAATTTGTGATTTAAATTTAATACTTAATAATACAGTTTGTGGTTCATTTGAATTTTTTAATGCAAGTAATGCAGTGTCATGATATTCTTGTTGATATTTAATTTTAGCATATTCTCTCCACCATTTTTCATCTTTTTCATAAGTAGAACATAACAGAGCAAGATATGCTTCATTTGAATACCCCCATTTTCTTGCATATTTGCTTTGTGTTAATGATTTATCAGGAATATTACAAACTTTACTTACTTCAAATAATTTTTTTATTAATTGATAATCAACACCACATTCTTTGATCCAGTCAACACTTTCTTCTTTTACTTTATCACAATTTCTTCTTTTAACAATATCAACAATTAAACAATCAACAATTGAAGAACTTAATTGTTCTTTAGAATCTTCTTCAATAAGTCCATGTTTTAGTGAATCAAATGCTTTTTTGGAAAATAAATTTAATGCATCTTTTTCATTAAATTTAAGAGCTTTCCAAAGATTAAAGTCTTTATTTTCATTTAAAGAAGTATTATAACTAACAATACTTCCCCAATCACTCATTGTTCTCCATGCAATAGAATAGTCTAAATCGGTTACTTCTGTTTGTGAATTAAAATTAGTTAATACTTCTGCACAATGATATAATCCATTATTTCTCAATTCAGTTTCAATACCCTTTCTTTCTGCTTCTGCAAGTAAGAGTCTTCCAAATCCATCTTCTAAATTAACATCAATTTTTCTACCAATAATTTGTTTAATAGATTTGAAATCATTAATACTTTCTAATGGTTGTTCTATTAAATTTAAATTAGTTATTTCTTGTGGACGTTCTATATATATTTTATATTTACCATTATAAGACGTTGTAAACCTTAAATTTTCTGAGAATTTAATTCCACTAAATGAATAGTTCCAACGTAATGAATCTTGAATTAATTGAGAAAGATCAAATAATTGATATAATTTTGATGTTAATGTATAATACCTTGAAATAAATGGTAATAATATCTTTCTTTTTTCTTCATGTGACATTTGATTTAAAATAAAATCAACTAATTGGTCAGTAGGATTTTTTGTAATTTCATAAATACATGAGTTAATAACAAGTTTAGAAGAGAAATTATCTTTACAACATATTTGTTTAATGGTATTTTTAATTTTTTCATTTCTATCATACATTAAATCAATAAGTTGTATACTTAAATCATTAATTATATCATGTGGATGTAAAGAATCAAATTTTATTACGTCAAATGAATTGCTTTGAATTATAGCATCTATAACTCCATTAAATTTATTTGATATTTGTTGATAATAATGTGTTTGTGTTTTTAATAAGTATATAAATTGAATTATTTCAATACTTGGTTGTAATGTAAGTAAAAGATATGTAGCTCTTTTATATAAAATTAATTCTAAAGTTTCATTAAATGAAGTAAGTATTTTAAAATCCCACATTTTTTTAAATGATGTATTAAATAAAGATTCCGAATCATTTATTTCATGAAGAACATATAATAAATTAGTTTTCATTTCAGAATTACATAATTCTCTATATTCTTGTGATAATAATAATGCAGATTTAATAAATACATATGGATTATTAATTATTAAAGAACGAATAAACACAGGATAAGGAATAGCATTTTCATAATTTTCTTCTTGAATATCAACTAATTCTTTTTCAATTTCATTTTGAAATACACTAATTAAACATCCATTTAATTGTTCAGTAAATATTCTTGAAGATGGTTGAACATAATTAATTAATGAAGAAAAAATAAGTTTAACGAAAAGTGGTTGAAGGTGATTTCTTTTTGAATTAATAAATTGAATGACTAAACCAAATATTGTTTCATCCTTAATAAATTCTTGTAATTTCAATAAATTACCAACAAACAAAGAAATAGTAATCATTAAATCAGGTTTAATAGGATTAGTTGATTTAGAATAATTAATCACATCATTACAGTATTTATAAAAAAATTGAACAATTTCTTTATAATTAGAATTAATTTTATTTGAAAAAATAAGATGTATTAATGATAATGGAGATAATTGTTTTGGTCTATGTTCTATTAAAGAATCAAAACAATTTGATCCAATATAAAGTCTCATTATTTTACCATAATGACTATTAATATAATTTTGTAATACTTTTTTATCAATAATATCAATATCTTCTTTATTTAAATATTGGTCTATAACTATTTCAATATCACGACTAATTAATTGTTTAATTGATGAGTAATTCATTAATGATAATAATTGATTAGCAGCTTTTGAATTTTGTATTATCAAAGGAATTATTGATTTCTTATATTTTTTTAAGAAATCAGCAAATACATCAACCATATAAACAAATGGAAAATTTGATAACATTGAATATTTTTCAAACCATTTTTTGATGAATTTTGCTGAAGGTGAGAAATCTATTAATGTGTCTTGAATTAAAAAATTATAAATCCTAAGGTCTTTATCTATTAGTAATTCAAATGCTTTCATTAAACAGTCTATACTCTTTTGTTCATTTGTACATTGAGAGCATTTATAATAAAAAAGGAATGATGATATTGTTTTTAATGCACAGTCACTAGATTCATTTTGACTTAATAACTCATCAACTAATTTGTTTAAATTAACTCTAAGATCTTTTGGATTAGTTTCAGCTTTAATACTATCAAAATGAAGGTTGTAAAGGATAAGTTGTTCATTTGAACTATTCATAAAGAGTTTTCTACTATTAATGAGTGGTAAACAATTGTCTGATAATTCTTGTTCAATCTGATTTTTAACTTCTTCATTTTGAGTATATTTAAAACAAGAAAAAAGACTATCTAATGAAGACTCGTTAAAAAAGAATGTCCAGTCATTATATAATGCTTGTAAATAATCTTCCATCAAAGGATGTGAATTAAGAACTTCAACAAATTTTTCAACTGTTTTAATGTTTCTATTAATATGTAATAATACTTTACAAATAAAATTCATTGGAAAAGAATAATTATATTGATTTAGTTCTTTTATAATATTAAGTAGTGACAATGCAACTTCAGAGGTATAATTCTTTAATGAATCAACAATTTCTTTATAACATTTCTTTGGAAATACTGTTATTGATTCAAATAGAGCAGAATCTAATTTTGAAATAATTTTATCATGAAAGAAGCAGTGTGTTGTTGAATTTCCTAGTAATTGTTCAATTACTTTGAGTAATTGTAGTGGTACTTCTTTTCCCTCTTTAATTTGAGAAGTTATATATTCAACAGCATATTCACTTCCTATGCCTTGTGTAAGAATATTTTGACAATCATTTTGATAATAAATGTCAGGACAAATATTCCATAATGAAGAAATTTTATTAATAAATAGTTTATGTTCTTCTGATGGTTTATCTCTTAATGAATATACCAATTGTTTTAATAATTGATAATAACATATTGATAGTTTACATTCATTAATTGTTGTTGGAGTTTTTTGTTTTTTGATACAAAGAAGAAATTCATTAAATAAAGTTAAACGAAGAGTTTGTGATATAACAACAACAGTACTAATATCAGGGACTATTTCTTTTTTTATGATTGGTGGAATTGTAGTAGTGTCAAAGTCATAGAAAAACTGATGTTCAAATAAATCAATAAATTCATCTTTATCAAAAGATGGATTAAAAAATGAAATGATTGTATCTTTGGTAAAAGGTATCCCAAAGAATAACCATTGAATAATGTTAAATGAAAGTGGTAGTAAAACAATTTCATCAAAATGTTCAACAATCCAATTAAGTTGTTTTTGTTCTTTAATTCTTCCTTGATAAATTAAAGGAATTAAAGAAGTAGAAAAAGATAGATCACAAGGTAATGATAAATTATTATCAAAAAGTATATGAAAAGCAACTAATTTTTGGAGAATAAATGATGATTTGGAATTAATTGCTTTAAAAAATTCATTAGATAACGGTTGTAATTCCATTTTATTATATATTAATAATAATGAAGCAGAATATAATAATTCACATTGAATAGAACTAAACCGTAATTCCTTATTTGTACAATTTTGAACAGAAATAAAGAGTTGTTTTACAAGTTCAATACTTTCACTCTCAACTTTGTTATATTCAATTAAACCTTTAACTGCTTCATTCATTATAAAACAACAATTAAATAATTGATAAGAATGTGTTTGAGTTCCAAAATATTTTAATAATTCTCCAAGTAAAAACAATCCATTTTCAGGTTGTTTTACACCAATTTTTTTTTCTTCTTTAAATGAATAGTTAATCATTTTACTAAACAATTTAGCAGTAAGATTTAATACTTCTTTTGGACCATTAAACACGTTATTATTTAACGTTTGTTGTTGTTCATTAAAAAGATTAATAGTAATGTGAGTATCTTGTAGTTGGTTTAATACAATTCCATTAAATACTTTAAGTAATACATCTTTTGCAATTTTTTCTTCAAGTAAATTAAAAGAAAGAAGAATATTATAATATTCAAGTAAAACAGTTTTAGAAGAAAAGAATAATCTATAATTTGGAGTGATAATAGATTGAACCAAATCATTATTTAAAAGAATGAAAAGAGAAGGATTAATATGACTATAATATATATTAATATAATTCACTAAATTTAAGAATAAAATACTATTACTTTCATCATTATTTTCAACAAAATAATTTAAATAAATTTTAACTCTTTCACAAAGAGGAATAATGAAGTCATAAATATATGTAAAATGAGTTAATCCAATAACCATAGAAAATAAAGCAATTGAAAATGAACATTTAGAATCTTTATCAAAGTCATCAATAACTTGATTTAACATTTCATCAAAAAGTATTTTAATATGATAATTAATATTTTCATCATTTTGATTTAATGCAAAATCAATATACATTGAATTACCAAAAACATTAGAAATTAAATCATATTCAGCAATTCTACAATTTTGTGTCATTAAATCCTTTTGATTAATTTCATTAATTATTGGAAGAATACTTTGAAATAAAAAATTTTGAGTATCTATTTGATTTGTTGATTGATCTGAAGAAATATTTCTTAAAAGAAAAACACTTTGATTATATCGTTTTGGTGTTGGAGAAAAGAAACAGTTTAATGTTTCATATTTCTCTTTTTTAGAATATCCTTTTGAATTAATAAATGCATCAAATAAATCACTCCATGTCACTCCTTTTTCTTCTTCATTTGCTGATGAAATAGAATTAATATTTAATGCCCATCTATTATTTGGTTCTGTTATTAGTTCTTTAAATGCATTTTTATCTTCTTTCATCTTTTTTTGTTTACTTCGATAATTTTTTACAGTAGTTCCAATATTTGTAGTTAATTGATACCTTAACTGCTCTACTTCTGCACTAAAGTGATATGGAAAAATAAATTGATTAGTAAATTTTGTATAATCTTCGTCCATTCAAAGAAATAAAAGATTTTTTTTTTGTAGTTTTTACTTATTATTTTATTTTTTTTTTATTTTTTGTTATTTCTTAAAAGAAAAGAAATCAATTATGATTAACCTTATTTTTAGGTTTTTCATCATGTTGAGAAGTGAGCGAATCAGTTTCTTCAACACGCTTTATTTCTATTGAAATAAAGTTTTTGCAAGCATGCTCGACTTAAATGGTTCCTCATTTAAGTTGCTGCCTGACTTTTATTTTGATTTTAATGAGTAATATAATATTTCTCATTCTTTATATTGTTGTTTTAAGGAGAGTATATCCATAACTTACTGTTATAGCTCATCTCCTTTTACCTTCGACACCCCTTAAAGAAACCCTATTCCTTGATAATATCCTTATGTTTAATTTTTGTGCAACAATATCAATTATATATGCGTCTTCTTTAATAATTGATAATTCTTAATACATAATACCTCCTTAGTTAATAATAATTCTTAGTTAATAATAATTCTTAATAAACAATAATCCTTATGAATAATAATATTACATAATAACCACTCATAATAAATATTAATAATAATAAACAGTTAGTTTTGAACAGATATTATCTCACCAAAGGCACGTCATGACCAGACGATAACTGGGAGATTCGAAGCATGGGATTATTTTATGGTTTCATGTGGTGTCTCTGACGTGCCATCTTCGAATCCTATTTTTTGTTATTTCTTATTAAAAAGAAAAAAATTAATATTTTTGCTTAACAACGAAATAGGAAAAAGGAATATCAACGATTAAACTCATTTTTAAAGGAGTTATTTAAAAAAAAGAAGAATATAAAAGAAAAGATTGACTGCGTTTTAAATAACTACAGAAGATGATAAAAGAAAACAACAAAATAATAAACAATAAAAATAACAACAACAACATACCTCTAATTCACATTGAAATGATATTAGAAAAATGTGTCATTGAGATCTTTTGGTTTGCTTGATCCAATATTGCAACGTTGAAGGAGATAAATCCCCATAAGTTTCTGGTTCAGTCACTTGAAGGAATCTAGCAGCTTTAGTAAGTCCAATTAAACGGACTTTTTCAACAGCAAACATCTTTTGTTCAAAGGACCAATATTTTTTTGTTTTCTTTCCACTAGAATTTGGTGGTGAAGGATTTTTTACTTTAACAGAAGGATTTTTCTTATAAAGAAAATCATTTGAAGGTCCAAAAATCACTTCATACTTCCAAGGAGTAGTAGGTTCAAAGACAGTCATACTGCTCATTTGACAATAATGAGATTCATTTTTAGGTTTAAATTTTTAGAAGTTTATTATTCAATAAAAAATACACTTTCTTTTAAAAAATATTCTAAAACATTCCATCTACCAAAAACAACCCTCAACATAAAGGAATTTGGTACCTGTTTTATATTAGAACATAGTCTCAAGTATTTTCTTTCTTTCGTCATTTATAGAAATTTCTTTCTTTCATTAATTTCATTTTTAGAATAACAGAAGATTCAGTGGTTAAGTTTTTATATAAAAAACAAAAATATTTTTGTGATAAATAACGAAATATTAAATTATTATGTTAAAAACGGTTAAATAAAAAATAATAAAGAAAGACAAAGTAAAGATGTTAGAAGCACCGTTAATATAAACAGACCAATAGAAATTTCACCTAATTTAATTGATTGTTCAGTATTTGAACCACGACTTATAATATAATTAATAAGCCATATTAATGGGTTACAAAACCCAATAAGGAATAAAAAGAGTATTAACTGATTATATCTAATTTCATCTCCAGATAATGTCTGATGTAATTGATTTTCATAGAGTAATGGTACTTCTGTTGTTGAAAAAACATAAATGGAATTTTGGTAGACTTGTTGTTGCATGATTAACTGTTTATGATTTTAGTTGATTAATGAAAAGTTTTTATTCAAACATTCGTACAGAAAAGAATCTTCATATTTCGGTTTGTTTAGCCTTTTTTCTTCTATATTATCTCCTGAAATCCATACTACATTTTTAGTCCTCATCACAACTTTTTTGTATATTAAAAAATAATAAATAAACTATAAAGGAAGTAACTAATATGACACACTAGTTTCTTTCTTGTTTTGTATCAGTCAATCTAAATATAGCCTTTTTGATTTTTCCATAAGAAAGACACAAAATGAAAATAAAAATAAAAATTGTTATTTGATGTTTCATAATAAATGCTAATGAAAAGAGAAAAAAGAAAAAAAAAGTAAAAACATAGTTTTAAAAATTAAAAAATGAGAATAAAGGAAAAAAAGACATAACAGACAAAGAAATAGATAAGATAGATCTAATAATCAAATTATATATGAACAGTTTTTTTAGACAGCACAAATATTTTGGTACACCACTCTCTAATATTCAACGAAGAAAAACTGGACAATGTGACCACCGGATTCCTTCATTAGTATATTTATGTGTGATGTATATTTGTGAACCAGAACATATCACTCAACAAGGATTGTTTAGGTTATCTGCACAGGCACATGAAATTGAAAAAGTAAAGAAGATAATAGATCAAAAAAGTTGTCTTGGATCAAAAAGTATTTTAATTAAAGCATTTGATAAAGACCTTGGAATATGTACTGCAATTTTAAAGAAATTTCTTTATGAATTACCAACACCATTAATCCCACAAACAAATATCAAATATTTAAGAGATTTAAATAATAACCCACCATCTGCTTCAAGACTATTTTCTACTCTTGACCCAGCAGCTGCTGATATATTAAGTTTTATATTAATATTTCTTAATTATATTACTAAATTTTCTAATAAAAACAAAATGAATGCTACAAATTTAGCCGTTTGTTTTGCTCCTGTACTTACTCGCCCTTCTGATTCTACGTTGGTTGAGTTAAATTCTATTAAAACGTATATTGAAATTTTAATAGAACATTGTGATAAATTAATACCACCACAATTATATGAAGTGTTTTGTGTCCCATTTAAAACATTTTGGAAGAATGATGCTGAGAGACAAAAGAAAATTGTTCATGTATTACCTCAAATTGAAACATCAAAAGAAATTTATGACTATGTTTTACAAGACAGACTATTATATCATCGTTCTGATGAATGGAAAGATATGACTTATTCTCAACTCATTCAAGAATATGAAGCATTTAAATTAGCTGCATCATATTTCTTATATAATCAATATTTTGTTAATGGAAAATGGCCAGAAGATAATACTTTTCATGGAGTAATGATGTTAATTGACCAGTTAAAGAAAAAAATAAAAGAAAACGAATCACAGGTACAACCTGATTGTTTTCATTCATATAACATTTCTCAATCAGAAAAAGAAATTGCTTTACCAAATACCTGTGAAGAACTTGCTAGTTTTATAGCTGATATTCAAACAGAAATAATAACTATTCAACAACGATTAGACCAAATGCCTGACCATATTATATTAAAGAAAAATGGAGATATTCATACGCTTGCTGAAAGAAAGTGTTTAATTGTCAAACAACAACATTGTGCTAGGGTAAATAATTATATTATTGATCATATTAATGAAATTTTAATTCAATTAAAAGCCTAATTTAAATTGTTTTTGTTGATTAAAATCCTTAAATTGATAAAATAACAACCAAATAATTAATTAATATTAAACATAATTAATGTTGAACTTTATAAAAAAAAAGGATGTAGAAGAAATATGTATTAATTGTCTTGAGTAACAATAGAACGTTTTTTATTTCTTATTGACTTTTGAACAATAACATTTTTTTGTAAACGTAAAAGATGTTTTTGTTTTTGGTGAAGAATAGATTCAAGGCTCTTTAATTTAGAATTATACAATTGCAAATTTGGTGAATTAGACCTACTATTTGCTATCATTTGAGACATCCGAAATATTTCATTTCGAATATTGGAAATTTGTTGGGTCAATTCACTTTGACGATATCTTCTTCCTGAAGGAAGTGAATTGTCATTGATTGAACTTTCTCTTACTACCATTTTGTCTTTTGATGGGTACATAACTTGACTATCAACTTGTTCATAAAGTAATGGATTTACAGGGATAAATACAGAGAGATTAGTCATGTTATATGAAATTAAAGATTAACCTCCTTTGTCTTTTTATATTATTGTGTCCCATTGTCTTTTTATTTTTGCTGACCCAATTTACAAAAATAACTACAACAAGTAAACCCCTAACATTTTATTTCTTTATTAATTGGTTGGTTTATAAATACTTCTCTTCTTTTATTCTTTTTTCGTTTTTTTTCTTTCTTCGAATATAGTTTTAGTATTGTTTGTTTACTATTTTTTTTTATTTTTTTTTATATTAAATTCTTTTTTTTTGATTTTATTTTCTTCTTTTCCTTTACATTGTTTATTTTTAAATTTACATCTCTGGAGATTTTTTCTTCTTTTATTTTATTGTTTTAAATCATTTTAGTTCGAAGGTGGCATGTCTGAAACACCACACATAAACCCTAGTACAAATTCAAACTTCGACTCTCCCAGTTATTATCTGGTTATGACGGTGCTTTTGAATTAGGAATGTATTAGGGAATGCTGCAAAGGGTGCAGCAAGAGAATATAGTAGAATATTACATGGATGTAATATAAGAACCTACTGAAGTGTGAGTATGACTAAAAGAAGATTAGTCAAAGTAAGACTAAAAAGAAGATTAGTCAAAGTAATATAGTAGTAATAAAATGATTCCTTCTCCCATTCATAAAATAAGAAAAATGAAATTCCTTAAAATTAAGGCAGAAAATAAACAAAGGCTTAAAAAGAAGAAATAAGCAGAAGAAGTTTGAAAAACCTTAATAAGAAGAAATAAAGCAAAGAAGTGGTTTCCTCATTTTGCAAGAAAAACATAAAGAATAGGTTTAACAAAGAGATTACTCTTTTTTAATAAGCTCAGGGATGGGATTAGTCTCCCCTGAGCTAGGAAGAATAGATGAAAAATCTATTAATACTTAATTAATTACTTTTTATTGTTTTAAATCATTTTTATTCATTATATTTTCAGAATATTTTAAGATTCTTTCGATTAAAAGCTTTGTTTTTATTTTTTTGTAAAGAATGTGTAAAAAACAAAACAATAATAACACAAAATTTCTTTTAATAATAATAATTAAATTTTTTGTTATATATGTTGAGAAAGAGTATAAACAATAGTTTCTTATTTATTTTATCTACCAATCAAATGAATGTAAACTTGACGGAACTTAAAAATAAAAAAACGAAGACATGGCAAGTTCTCAACCAACAAGATTTTCGTTAAGTACTCGTTCTTCTGATTTTATCACTTGTGAATCTAACCCACTTGAAACGGTTTGTTTTTTTTTAAGTATAATAAGTTTAGTCAAAACTTATTAGTAGTTATTATTGAATCTTACCAACGATATTCCTACTGGTGTTATTAAGCATTTTTGTTCATTAATGTCTACCCCAGAAGAATTATTCAATAATACTTCTATGATTGTTGGATATTATTTACAAGAGGGTTGTTTAAAACAATTTATTAAATACTTAATTGTAAGAGAAATTGAAGAGTGTTTCCGTACTCCACAGGCAATTTTTAAAAGAAATTCAACATATTTAAGAGTGTTAAAAGTAATTTTAGAAAATGAATTAAAACCCTTCTTTAATAAAGCAATGGAAATTGTCTTAGTAATTATTGAAGAGAATAAGTCTAAATTAGTTATTGGAAATACAGGGGATCCAGGGGTTGAAAAGTCATTAGATAAAATGAAAGACATTATTTACAAATTAACAGAGTTATTTATCACTTTTAATTTCTCAAATACATTCCTTTATTTTATGTCTCGTGCTTTAGTTGAACTTCATGCAAGAACTCCAAATGTTGAAATTAGTGCTTTAAGAGGACTATTCTTTATTCGTCTTCTTGGAAATTATTTAGTCTCCAATCTTGAAAGTAAAAGTGCTGTTGAAGCTGAATCATTAAAAACTGTTTCAGTAGTATTGTCATGGTTTGCTGAACCAACTGAAGAGGAAATATCTGAAGATAATTGGAAAGCATATTTAAAAGAATTTGCCTCTGACAAACGACAAAGCATTGATGAACGTATTCTTCAATTTAAAAATCCTGATATTGACTCTATAGAAATTGATTTACCATGGATTGATAAAGAAAAGGCTAAAGATTTATTACCAAGAATGCAAGTTGAATGGAGAAATGTTGTTCAATTTGTTACCTCAGAGAGTGGTGTATTACTTCAACTACATTTTTCATCAGAAATGGAAACAACAAGAATTTACAATAGATTAATTAATGAATTAGAGGCTTTATCAACAAATACTAAAAAAGAAAAATCTGATTTATTATTAAAAATGACTTCAATGAAAATGGAAATTAAAGACTTAGAAGAGGAAATTAAATACCTTCGTGAATTATTAGCATCACGTGATCCTTCTTTAGCTTATTTAAAAAGTGATGAAAAAGAACAAGATAATTAATTTGTTAGTTCTAATTTTTATTAAATTAAAATTTTGTTTTATTAATGATAAACTACTTTTGATTTTAATTCTTTTGGTTCCATTGTTGACAAATAATCTTCATCACCATACCCTATAGCTATCATTAAAAGTAATTCTTCTTCTTTCTTTATTTTCGTTTTTAAATGTAAAGCATCAAGCCATTTATCTGCTACTACTGTTATTACTCCAATTGGTACTGCTGCAAGTCCTTCAATATTAGCTGCTAATAACATATTTTGTGCAATAAAACCAACATCAAAATGAGTATTTGTATTATCATTAGATTTATCACATGTTAAAATAATAGCACATGGGCAGTCATAAGTTAATATTGATTTAACTCCTAACGTTTTCATTCTTTCTTCATACAATTTTGGGTTTAAGTTAAAAATTGTTTCTTGACAATTTTCAGCAATTCTAGCAATAACTTGTTTGTCTAGTCTTATTAGTCAATTACTAAATTTGAAAATAGAAATTAAGAAAGAATTGTCAAACTTTTAATAACATAAAATCGTATTGGTTGTTCATCATATGCAGTAGGAGCATTTCTTCCAGCATCAATTATATGACTTAATTTGTTTTCTTCAACTTCCTTTTGAATAAATTTTCTGCAGGTTCTTCTGTATAAACTTTTCATAATCACAATCTTAAAAATAAACCTTGAAACAAAAAAGGAAGAGTGGCTTATAAAAAAAGAAAAAAAATATAAATAGACAAAGAATAATATTTGAATAATAATTTAATAATAAATTATAATGAAGAAGGTATTTTGAGAATGAAGGAAATTAAGAGAAGAAAAATAAAAAAATTAAAGAAAAACTAAAAAAATTTTAAAATAATTTGAATGACAGGAATGGACCAAGCTGACAAGAAAGACTTCTTGGACTTGGTGTTCGGCGAAATTAAAACGCCTGCTCCAGTTAAGATTTGTGTTTCACATGCTAAAACTAAAACTAAACAAGGAGAAAATGATGTTTTATATGCAGATTCTATTGTTTCATTTAAAAGAAACGACACTGAAGGAACAGGAGAATTAGATGTATATCAAATAAAACAGTGTTTATCATCTACTGATGGAGTAAGTACAAATCAGAGATATAATTTAACAGAGTCTCAAATAAAACAATTATTTAATGAAAGATTTACTGATAAAAGTTGTAGAGTAGATCAAAAAGAATTTTGTGATTTTATTATTTATTTAAAAAGTATTTCAGAACGATTAAAAGTTTGTTTAAATAAAGTTAGAAAGAAAAAAAGAAAGAACATAAAAGGATTAATTAATTTAGGAATATTCAAAACAAAAAAATGTATATGACATTTATGCAGATCAATTTAAAGCTAATACATCAATATCAAAATTATATAATTATTTTGATGAAAATGATTTTACTTTAGAAAAGATTAATGGAGAACATAATGGAATTACAATTTCTTTCCCTCTTACAGGTGATGCATCAACAATTTCATATTTAAAATTAATTGAACAACAATTCTATGGAGAAAGAATCGTTATAAAAGAAAAACAAACGATATATTCTTCAATTAATCCAAGTAGATTAAGTGATTTTGCTAAAACTGAGAAGTGTAAAAATTATATGAGAATTTTTGGTAATGAAAAAATAGAAGAAGGTATTGAATCAAAAGAATCAGTTGATCAAAAAGAAAGTGATAAAGATAATATTCAATTGGATGTTAAAATGGTTGATATTATTGAACGTTCAAATAGAAGAAAAGAAAATCCCAATTTATTTGATTTTTATAATCCAGTATTTTCTACTGGTAGTATTGTTTCAGAAAGTGTTGAAGTTCCAATGAAAATGAATGATGATAGAAAACCATTTGTATTTGAATATACATTAGGAGGAGATGGAGAACAAATAGTTTCATCATTTTGTCTTTTAGAAGCAAATTCAAAAAGGAAATTAACAGCTGATTATTTTGTTGAATTAAATAGAAAAACAGATACATTTGATGTATTAAATCAAATAAATCCAGTAGTTATTAGATTATGGCCATATGATATTGAAAATGGAGATCTTTGGGTATTAGTAAAACATTATAAAAGTGCAGATAATGATATTGAATCAATTAAAGATATGTATGAAAAAGGACTTGAAGATAAAAAGGGGAAAAAATATAAAGAAAAAATAGCAACAAGTAAAATTGATATTCAAAGAGAACAACTTTTAGTTATTGGATTAATGCCAGTTAATAAAATGTTTAAAGAAAAAAAAGGACAATTATTAAATATTAAATTTTATAGAGAAGATATTGAAAATGAAAAAAGAATATTTGAATTAATTGAAGATGTAAAAAATAAAAAAGCTAAAGAAATTGATTTAAGATGTTGGTTAGCAACTATTAGATTTACTACACTTGAAGATTGGAAAGAAGCACAATGCCATTTATATTTAGGAAATGAAAGATTAACTGAATTAGAAAATATTCAAAAAGTAAAAGAAGAAAAAGTAATTGATGTACCAGTTATGGAGGATTTAATTGAAAATGAAGAATTATGTGATATTTATGATAGATATTCTAATAAATTAATTATTTATCCAAATGAAGTATCAATTGGAAAAGAAAGAAAAAGATCAGGAATTGTAATTAAAGTTTGTTTAAGAGATAGTGATAGTAATATTGGTGATGAATCATTAGATCTTAAATTATTTTATCCACAAAAAAGTAATATCAGAAAAGGAGAAGTTGAAATGACTTCAAATGGAATTACTTCTTTTTCACATACAAAAATTGGACAATTTTTAAGTGAATTAAAAGTAGAATTACCTTTTCCATTAAAGAAAACACATCATTTATTATTTACTATTACTGATGTATCTGCTGAAGAAACAGGAAATAGTTCAAAACCATTATATGCATATTATTCATTTTTTGAAGATGGATTTATTAATGAGTCTAAGAAAACAGGATCATTTTCAATTTTAAAATCATTGAATGGAGAAGTAACTCTTCCAATATTAAAAAATCCATCAAAAAATTATCTTCAACATACAGAGTTTTATGAAGTGTCAAAATATTTTTTAAAAATTAAATTAAATGGATTAAGTAGTGTTTATCCACAATCAGAAGATACATATAAATTAATTCATTATCTTATTAAATATGCAGAAAATGAAAGTGATGATCAACTTATTCAACAAATTAAAAATATTTCAGAAAAAATACCTTCAACTGATTGTGTTCATTTCTTTCCAGTTATAATGAATGGATTATTAAATGTAAATAAAATATTACTTGAACCAGTACTTACTATTGTTGATAAAGTAAGTAATTTTGAACAAAAATATTATCGTAAAAATATGTCAAATCCAAAAGTTGTAAGACATCCTGTTTTATCTAAATATCTTCAATATCATTGTACATGTCAAGACTCATGTCCAAATACATTAGTTATGTTATTAAAAAGTCAATTAAGTTTAACAGATCAAGCTCAAACAATATCAAAAGTATTTTCACATATTTGGTTTTTATTTGAAGTTATTATTCATTCATTAATTAAATATTTAGATAAACAACATGCATTAAAAGATGAACGTGGGAAATGGTTTGATCCAGAAACAATTAAAAATAATAAAATTTCATATAATTCATTTAAAAAATTATTCCTTCAAGCATTTACACCTACATTTTCACAAGTACTTCATGATAGAGTATTTAATAAAATGTATAAAAATCTTGCAGAGGCTAATGCGGCTTATGTTAGATTTTTAATGAAATTATTTAGAATATTAGGAAGAAGTGAAGTTATGGGAGTATTTGAATATCATTTAAAACAACTTTCATTACCATATGTTGAAGTAAAAAATAATTTTGTTAAATATGAACAAACAAGTGAAGAAGTAATGTTTTTAACAGTTTTAAGACTTGACTCATTAAATTTATTTTCTAAATTTCCATATATTGACTTATTAGCATTACCAGATGATATTGAAATGAAAGATAATGATATTGGAATGCTTGGAGATATTGTCTTAGAAAAATATTTTCCAGTTTATTTATTGATTAGGCAGTATCTTCTTATTTCACAAAAGTCTACAATATTATCTAAAATGGGAATTTATTCGTTGGTTGCATTTTTACAAAGACTAGACCTTGATGCTAAATTACAAAATAAAAAAGGAATTATATCAAATATGTTACTTGGAATTGTATTAAGATTAATTGATGATAATGATTCTATTCTTGATTGGGAAAATAAAAGATGTAGAGAAAATGATGGAATAGAGGATGTAGAGATGATATCTATTTGTTTCTTTTTTGTATTAAAAAATATGGATGATAAAACATTAAAGTCATGGTTAACTGGTGAAGTTCCGTCAAGAGTTAAAGTAATAGTTAATATCATAAGAAGGTCATTATTGTTATTATCTAGATATCCACTTCCATTATTTAAAGACCTTGAACCAGAAGTAGAAGAAATGCGAGAAAGAGTTATTAATGATATTACAAAAGAAAATGAAACAAAAGAAATAACAATTAAAGAACCAATGCAAATTATTCATATTAAAAAAAGAAGGCCAAGTCAAGCACCTACAGAAGAAATGCTTAAAGAACAAGAATTAGAAAATAAAAATAAGGCAGATAGAAGAAGAAAAATTATGAGTATTTCAATAAAAAGAAATGAATATGATTTTCTTCATCATTATATAATTTATGATTGTGTTATGGTTACTTTAGATGCATTAGAAATATTGTATGAAAGAACTCAACAAGAAGAAAGTGCTACAGAAGGAAGTGATAATGAATCTAAAACTGCATTAGGTGATATTGAAAATATTATAAATAATGTTTTATTTGATTGTCCAATGAATAGTAAATATGCAGAACAATTATTTGCATTTGTAAGAAAGATATTAAGTAAATATTGTAATTATATTTTTACTAAACGTGTTGACTTCTCATTCCAATTATTAAAGAATATAATTAAATTATGTAGTTCAGAGAATGATAAAGTATGT